CCCTTTCCAAGCAATCGATACAAATATCGATATCCTGTTCTTTGGGCAATTTGGGTAAATAACTTGACCAATAGCTTCTAAAATAGAATATATATGCATTTGATGTTGGAAAAAGAGGGTTCAGGCTATCCCTTAGTCGGGAGCTCCCGACTAGAACCTCTTACTTGTTTGAATATCTTGAGGTGCCAAAAATTGATTGCTCTGTCTGGTGAACCTTTCACTCGTTTTCATTATATACCCATTTAATTCTTGTCAATTGGCAATACCAATTTGCATGCCATTTGGATCATTTTAATTTATTGACGTCGCCAACTAAACATTCCGTTCGCATTGGGCCAAATCGATGCAGTATCAAAAAACACACAAAAAATAAGGAATCAACACAAAAAACAGGCGCACACGGAAAATACACATAAACACACGCACACACACACAAACACACAGACACAAACACACAAATTGAACAGAGGGAATAGAAAAAGAAAGACATCACTTAGAGAAATGTCTGTCTAGCGCAAGAGAATAGAGGCCAATTGGGGCGTGGCTGTCAATTGAAATAAACTAAATAATTTAAAATAAACACAAACTAATAATAAACCAAAGAAAAGAAAAGAAGAGAAAAGTGTGAAAGAAAACTATAACGACGTTCCAAAACGACATAACTGCCCGCGGAGATATGACGTTCCAAAACGACATAACTCCCCGCGGAGATATGACGTTCCAAAACGACATAACTCCCGCGGAGATATGACGTTCCAAAACGACATAACTCCCCGCGGAGATATGACGTTCCAAAACGACATAACTTCCCGCGTAGATATGACGTTCCAAAACGACATAACTCCCCGGGGAGATATGACGTTCCAAAACGACATAACTCCCCGCGGAGATATGACGTTCCAAAACGACATAACTGGCCGCGGAAATATGACGTTCCAAAACGACATAACTGCCCGCGGAGATATGACGTTCCAAAACGACATAACTCCCCGGGGAGATATGACGTTCCAAAACGACATAACTCCCCGCGGAGATATGACGTTCCAAAACGACATAACTCCCGCGGAGATATGACGTTCCAAAACGACATAACTCCCCGCGGAGATATGACGTTCCAAAACGACATAACTTCCCGCGTAGATATGACGTTCCAAAACGACATAACTCCCCGCGGAGATATGAAGTTCCAAAACGACATAACTCTCCGCGGAGATATGACGTTCCAAAACGACATAACTCCCCGCGAAGATATGACGTTCCAAAACGACATAACTGCCCGCGGAGATATGACGTTCCAAAACGACATAACTCCCCGCGGAGATATGACGTTCCAAAACGACATAACTCCCCGCGGAGATATGACGTTCCAAAACGACATAACTCCCCGCGAAGATATGACGTTCCAAAACGACATAACTCCCCGCGGAGATATGACTTTCCAAAACGACATAATTGCCCGCGGAGATATGACGTTCCAAAACGACATAACTCCCCGCGGAGATATGACGTTCCAAAACGACATAACTGCCCGCGGAGATATGACGTTCCAAAACGACATAACTCCCCGCGGAGATATGACGTTCCAAAACGACATAATTCCCCGCGGGGATATGACGTTCCAAAACGACATAACTCCCCGCGGAGATATGACGTTCCAAAACGACATAACTCCCCGTGAAGATATGACGTTCCAAAACGACATAACTCCCCGCGGAGATATGACGTTCCAAAACGACATAACTCCCCGCGGAGATATAACGTTCCAAAACGACATAACTCCCCGGGGAGATATGACGTTCCAAAACGACATAACTCCCCGCGGAGATATGACGTTCCAAAACGACATAACTCCCCGCGAAGATATGACGTTCCAAAACGACATAACTCCCCGCGGAGATATGACGTTCCAAAACGACATAACTCCCCGCGGAGATATGACGTTCCAAAACGACATAACTCCCCGCGGAGATTTGACGTTCCAAAACGACATAACTGCCCACGGAGATATGACGTTCCAAAACGACATAACTCCCCGCGGAGATATGACGTTCCAAAACGACATAACTTCCCGCGGAGATATGACGTTCCAAAACGACATAACTCCCCGCGGAGATATGACGTTCCAAAACGACATAGCTCCGCGCGGAACATATAAGAGCTATGACTTAAAATTTTAAATGTAGGTGCTCCTAGTTCCCGCGCAGATCGAGCTTATTTCCGATAGTCGATAACTTACTCCCTTTCCAAGCAATCGATACAAATATCGATATCCTGTTTTTTGGGCAATTTGGGTAAATAATAAGAGCTAGAGTCACCAAACTTGACCAATAGCTTCTAAAATAGAATATATATGCATTTGATGTTGGAAGAAGAGGGTTCAGGCTATCCCCTAGTCGGGAGCTCCCGACTAGAACCTCTTACTTTTTTGAATATCTTGAGGTGCCAAAAATTGATTGCTCTGTCTGGTGAAACTTTCACTCGTTTTCATTATATACCCATTTAATTCTTGTCAATTGGCAATACCAATTTGCATGCCATTTGGATCATTTTAATTTATTGACGTCGCCAACTAAACATTCCGTTCGCATTGGGCCAAATCGATGCAGTATCAAAAAACACACAAAAAATAAGGAATCAACACAAAAAACAGGCGCACACGGAAAATACACATAAACACACGCACACACACACAAACACACAGACACAAACACACAAATTGAACAGAGGGAATAGAAAAAGAAAGACATCACTTAGAGAAATGTCTGTCTAGCGCAAGAGAATAGAGGCCAATTGGGGCGTGGCTGTCAATTGAAATAAACTAAATAATTTAAAATAAACACAAACTAATAATAAACCAAAGAAAAGAAAAGAAGAGAAAAGTGTGAAAGAAAACTATAACGACGTTCCAAAACGACATAACTGCCCGCGGAGATATGACGTTCCAAAACGACATAACTCCCCGCGGAGATATGACGTTCCAAAACGACATAACTGCCCGGGGAGATATGACGTTCCAAAACGACATAACTCCCCGCGGAGATATGACGTTCCAAAACGACATAACTCCCGCGGAGATATGACGTTCCAAAACGACATAACTTCCCGCGTAGATATGACGTTCCAAAACGACATAACTCCCCGCGGAGATATGAAGTTCCAAAACGACATAACTCTCCGCGGAGATATGACGTTCCAAAACGACATAACTCCCCGCGAAGATATGACGTTCCAAAACGACATAACTGCCCGCGGAGATATGACGTTCCAAATCGACATAACTCCGCGCGGAGATATGACGTTCCAAAACGACATAACTGCCCGCGGAGATATGACGTTCCAAAACGACATAACTCCCCGCGGAGATATAACGTTCCAAAACGACATAACTCCCCGCGGAGATATGACGTTCCAAAACGACATAACTCCCCGCGAAGATATGACGTTCCAAAACGACATAACTGCCCGCGGAGATATGACGTTCCAAAACGACATAACTCCGCGCGGAGATATGACGTTCCAAAACGACATAACTGCCCGCGGAGATATGACGTTCCAAAACGACATAACTCTCCGCGGAGATATGACGTTCCAAAACGACATAACTCCCCGCGAAGATATGACGTTCCAAAACGACATAACTCCCCGCGGAGATATGACGTTCCAAAACGACATAACTCCCCGCGGAGATATGACGTTCCAAAACGACATAACTTCCCGCGGAGATATGACGTTCCAAAACGACATAACTCCCCGCGGAGATATGACGTTCCAAAACGACATAGCTCCGCGCGGAACATATAAGAGCTATGACTTAAAATTTTAAATGTAGGTGCTCCTAGTTCCCGCGCAGATCGAGCTTATTTCCGATAGTCGATAACTTACTCCCTTTCCAAGCAATCGATACAAATATCGATATCCTGTTTTTTGGGCAATTTGGGTAAATAATAAGAGCTAGAGTCACCAAACTTGAGCAATAGCTTCTAAAATAGAATATATATGCATTTGATGTTGGAAGAAGAGGGTTCAGGCTATCCCCTAGTCGGGAGCTCCCGACTAGAACCTCTTACTTTTTTGAATATCTTGAGGTGCCAAAAATTGATTGCTCTGTCTGGTGAAACTTTCACTCGTTTTCATTATATACCCATTTAATTTTTGTCAATTGGCAATACCAATTTGCATGCCATTTGGATCATTTTAATTAATTGACGCCGCCAACTAAACATTCCGTTGGCATTGGGCCAAATCGATGCAGTATCAAAACACACAAAAAATAAGGAATCAACACAAAAAACAGGCGCACACGGAAAATACACATTAACACACGCACACACACACAAACACACAGGCACACACACACAAATTGAACAGAGGGAATAGAAAAAGAAAGACTTCACTTAGAGAAATGTCTGTCTAGCGCAAGAGAATAGAGGCCAATTGGGGCGTGGCTGTCAATTGAAATAAACTAAATAATTTAAAATAAACACAAAGTAATAATAAACCAAAGAAAAGAAAAGAAGAGAAAAGTGCGAAAGAAAACTATAGCGAGGTCGTTGAAACGCAAAATAAATCGATGTTTGTTTGTTATTTACATTTTGGCTTATCAATAAATAATCTAATTGTATATCGAATAAGTATCGTAACCATATGTACAAAGTGCCATAAATATTATGAATATCTTGTGTATAAACAATAATTAGAGCGACCCTCGCCTGGTGAGCTACAGTGAAGCGTTCTAAATGTGCGCTGGTACTGAATCAGCTTACCTCTGGTTGAACGCTTCTATCGGTATTATCACTAGCAATATCTGTATTATCCGGCTTTATGGGCTTTGTAGCGAATTCGCAGAGCAGCAAGTTAGGGTTAAAACGACAGATTGAGTTTTATTTTGGTTAGGTTTTAGTCTTGGACGTAACGACAAACTCTCAAAAGTTGTTTAGCAAAAGTGAAAAACTAACAGTCGTGTGGGTGTAGATAGATATTATGATATGACAAGCACTTACCATAGTGTCGTCAAGGAAGTGATGCACATTATCACAGAAGATGGTCCACCAGTGCTGGATAAGGTCTTTCGCATGGGAGTAATCGTGGGGCGTGGCAGCGGTTTTTGTCTCAGAGTTGAACTGTATCAACCAGGGCTTCAGTTTGCCAGCAAAATGCAAAATCTTTATCTTATCTCTGAACCTGAGTGCGTCAAAATAAACATAGATAGATACAGAATGAACCTCAAAGATACTTTCTGTGCACTTGCAGTGCATGGCCCACTTACTGTTTGAACGCAGGCAAGTAGCAGTAGGAAGCATAGGCTGTCACATTATAGACAAAGGGCAAATGCTTCTTGATATCTGCGGTCGCCCAATCGGCAAAGAACTGATTCAACAGGCCCTGATCGCCGCCATCGAAGCTGCCGTTCTTAACGGCGAACTCTGTGATCTGATTGAAGGTCTCCACGCTGGGCTTGAAGACAAACACGCCCGAGTTGAAGCAATCCGGCCAGCTGACATCCGGAGCAGCGGACAGTTCCTCGCGCTCGAACAGCTCATCGCAGTTTTTCAGCACCTGTCGCCGGAGTAGAGGTAGGGAGTTATTCAGGTTCACCTGCTTGCTGTGTCAGTGGCCATATTTACCAGCGTGTCCGCATCGAGGAAGACGCACTTCTCGAACTGCACCAGGCGCCAGCAGTGGAGCTTTGTGAAGGTGACGCCCAGCTCGGGGCGGGCGAGCAGCGCCAGGTTGGCGGCATCCTGTGAGTCCAGCACATTCACCTCTTGTACAACATTGTACACGTCCTTCAGTCTGTCCCGCATCGCCTCCGAAACGGTGGGCGTCACCAGCACAGCCAGCTGATGGGCGGTGCCGGCACGCTTCAGCGAATGGGCCAGGACCAAGGCGCCCAGCGAGTAGGTATCATTTGTGGTCAGGGTAACCCAGGCGAACTCTGTGAAGCAGATGCGACAAGAAGTTGGATCAGTTTACAGTCCATAGACACATACACTATATACATATGGGATCTTAGTAGGGAGAGTGAGCTACACAGATACACTAACACAGTTACGAACACATTAGCTTGGCATTGGCACAAGTTTTTCCAATTTTCATTTTCATTTGCTTGTTTTTTTCTTCTTATTAGTTTTGGCATTCAGAAATGTTCGCAGCGCGTCAGCGGCCAAATTATGGATTATAAATAAACAGGCAGCAGGAGTATATATATGTATGTGTATAGTTTATATAGATACACGATCTATTAGCTCTGTATGTTGTGTGTTTGTGTGTGTATGTGTGTGTGTGTGTGTGCGCGCTCATCTGCGTCAACAGCTTGTGGGCGGGGCACGCGGCACTCGCATGCATCGCTTTTGGCAAACTCTCGATTATTTGGGTTATATTGCGCCCCATTTGGGTTATTTTGTTGGATTCGCAAAAAAAAAAGCGGAAAAACTAAAGAAAATTAGCAAAAAGAAAAGCATGGCAAAATATTTTAAAGGCGCATCTGTTTAGTCGGCAAATTATATTTTGCGTTGTTGGCATTTAGTTGAATCGAATATATATATATATATATTGATATATATTTATATATAATCGTATACAATGGTATATATAAATTCCACGATCCAAATAATACTCAATTTTATTCGTAAAGCAAGCGTTAATTTCTGCGTTGAGCTATTACAAGCTGGGCAATGTACATTAGGCATATTAACAACCTCTCTAATGTTATTATAAATCCAATTCTTATGATTAACTTAGAAGGCTTAATTTGTCTAAGGATGATAGTAGCATTTTGTATATCTTCCTTATACTCTATAACTATCTAAATTAAAGTTTTATGCAGAGGAAATTGACATCTGGCAAAAATTGAGAAAAGGACTCGAATTGTAGCCGACCCTTCCAAATTGTATTTTTTGGTATCAGAAATACTTTTCTTACAACATTAATTTCTTCAGCAGTCTATAATACCCTAACTATACATATATATTTGGAAAACTTCATGACCCATCTTGTCATCCTGCTACATAAATATTTTATGAATATTATTAAAAGTTAATTTAAAATTATTTATAAATAAACATGCACGTAATTTTTGAAAAAGCGAAGTAGAACGAAAAAAAATATTTAAAATAAAATTCAACATTAGATCATCGTTATAATAGAAAAATAAAAAATTTATTTTTGACCAATAATTTGATAGTCGACAAGTAATTTAATGCTAAGTCAATGCTACGATCAACGAATCTTTGTACAGGTGTCTGCAACTAACTTTAGTTGGGTTAAGTTCATGATTAGTTCATTTTGTTGGGTTTAATTTGTTGTATTGTTTTTTTTTTTTTTTTTTAGCTAAATAATCTTTTGGGTTTATTTAGCATTAGAAAGCGCACCGGATTGGTAGTTGAGAAGCGTTTAGATGTAGAGTATACAACAAAAACAGAAGAGAAGATGAATTTCAACAACAACAACTACCTTCTGTGCTAGGCATTCGGTTACGGATGGAAACGGAGGAACGGCGAGCGGCAAACGGCAGCAGCAGCAGCTGAATGCATTGGTGACAGCCGATGCCACCGTCCGGCAGGTGGCGCTCTCATATACGAAAATGTATCTGACGGATTTAATGGGTGTGTGTGGGTGCAAAATAATGCGACTTCAGGGTGTTGTTTTAGCTTTTTTTGTTGTTTCTTGTTTGTTCTTTGTTTTTTTTTTTTGTTTTTTTTTTTTTGAGATTTTCATTTTATTTTATGTGTGTGCAATGAGCTGTTGTGCCTAAAATAAAAATGAAATCATTTACTTGACGAAACTAGAATGGTTTTTAATAACTTCGTGACTTACCGGATACGAGCACAAACAACAACAAAATATCATTTCACAACAATAAAAAATATATGTATATTTTTTAAAAATCAAAACGAATGTGTCCAAAAATGAAACAACATCGTAAATTTTGATTTAAATCAAATAAACAACACTTGTGCGACCAAATTTAAAAACAACTGTTGCCGAAATTGTACAAATGTCAAAATAAACGAATCAACATTGATCTTAAAATACGAATATATATATATATATATAAATATATCTACTTAAGTAAGCGATTAAGGAATTATTGAGTAAGCCGACAGCTGTTGGCCTGTGCAAGCAAATTTAGCATGGAAAAACCCACTCGAAATTGTGCGCAGTGTAACCAAAAGCTCGCTCAGCCAGCCTTAACAATATGACTCTTAGCTTAAGAAAAGCTCGCTCGGCAGCTGCAACGCTCTCTTAGCTGGCTAGCAAAGGGCCTCGAGCTGTCGTCAACCCCCGCTCCAGCTGCCCTTTATCAGCTGATTCAGTTGCAGCTCACAAAGGTCGTGCCACAAAAGCGGCACATGCTCAATGAGGCGTTAAAATTTCAATTGACCTGAGGCTGTGCTTTGTATGCAACAAGCTTATGAATGGCAGGGCATGGTGTGGCAAATAGTGGGCATTCGGTTTGGGGGAATCGGTGGCACTCGAGAAACGGAAACCCGTTCATGCATCGCCGCCAATGCCAAAGTGAACGCCACATTTGTTGCAGCCGGCATATGGCGAGATGCGAAAGCAATGGACGACTGGCAGACCGGCAAAAATCAGCGAATGCAATGCCAACATCCCAAAACAAGTTATACGGCACATCTGAAGAAGCGTGTGTATCTGCTAGATACTTATATACATATAGATACATATGTATGTGTTTGGCAGATATGCGTTGTGTGTATAGCACCAAGGAACAGGCCACTAAAAATAGCCCGAAAATGTGAAATGAAATTGTAGCGCGACAAGCAATCGCTGCTGCGTGCTGCTTGCTGCATGCAGCGCACACACACACAGATACACGAACGCAGAACACAGATACAGATACATTTTTAGAAATTCAATCAGAGAACGCAGCAAGGGAGCTGCCAAACTGGAGAAGCAGAGCCTTATGATTTATGCGGGCATCACATACAGATACAGATACAGATACAGAAACAGCTACAGATACAAATACATATACATATTCTATACGTATTGGCATTTTAATTTTCTTTAATTTTCCGCTTGCCGTTGTGGGCGTTGGGGGCTGTGGAAAAGTTTGTTCTCGAAAATTGTGAAATACCACTAACGATTTTTAGCGCCTGTCGCCAGCCATAAATGTATATATAATACATATTTAAGAGTATATATATAAGTGCTGTCGGCTATTTATAGCCGATCTATATCTATAACTTATGCACGCTCTTTGCGTACATTTAGAATATGATTATATTCATTTGATTCATGCATTGCAAACATGACGCGTGGAAAAATGCAGCTTTAATGAGCTAGGGAATGGGAATGGGCATAGGGGCATTCAATCATTAAGATGCGGAAATTCCTATCAGGCTGATAAGCTGAATATGCGAGTGCTGCCTGGCGCTAGTTTCTAGTTTTAACAGTTATAATTAGGTCACGACTTGCAGCAATCAATGGGCTGACGACAACTGACAAGTGACAACAAGGCTGGCACTGACCTTCACCACGCGCTCTCTTCAATAATTTGCCCACTCTCTATGCTAACCTTTGCCTAGCATTGCGATACAACAAAAACTGTGCTTACGCTCTCAGGCAATGCAATTCCGGCGCATATCAGCATAGCTGTGCCTACGCTCTCAATCACTCTCTCACTCTCTCGCTCTCTTAGGCTGTTAAAGCTTGGCTCTCTGACGGCGCCAAAGCTCACGTAACCAGTGTGCACGTTATCAGTGCGTCAACATTTGCCTAAGGCAATTTCGCGCATACTTTTCATAAATAAACAACTGACGTATTTGTGTGCCTGTGTTTTTCTACACGTTTTGTCTTCTTCTAATGCACATTTTTTTTTTTCGAAATCAAAAGAAATCTAAATGCTCTGCATGCATGCACACACACACACACGCATACGTTTACATTCTCATGCAAACACGCACAGGCTTGGCTAGCGGCAGCGGCTAGGCAAATGCTATTGAAGGTCAGTAAAGGTCGTCGCCGCATATTGCTGGCCTCAAAACACATGTATTTGACAATCTCAGTATAACAGGTACATATGAAATATATAAAATCTATAGGTATTTTTGCATAAATGCGGCGCTATGAAATATGAGAATGCAATTTATTTGCGGCTTTTATTAATTGCGATAAAAAGAAACAGAGAAGAGCTGCTGCACTCGCAGTCGCAGTCGCATTCGCAGTCGCAATCGCAAAGGGAAGGCCCAGCGACTCTCTCAACTTGGATATGATAGGCAGTAGCCATGCATAACACACACACACACACACGCACAGATTTTCATTTATATTTTTTTTTATATTTTTTTATCTGTGGTCACTTCTTTTGCCGCTTCTTTGGCGGCAACTGCTGTTGTTGCTGGAAAAACTTACTGCTCATTTTGTTTTTGTTTTTTTTTTTTTCTTTTTGTTAGTTAACTACTGTAAACACTGCAAAAACACGCGGAGCGAGTCCTTCGCGTCTTATTGCTTTCCGGGGGATGAAATTGGTCTTGGTGGTGGCGGTGGGTGGGGCGTGTCCGTTGAGCTTTCACACAGAGTGACGAGAGCGAGTCGATATTCTAAGTTGCCTGACGGAGGGTTCTGCGCTTGGCTGTTCTGCCTACCACGAGCGACGACGAGAAACTGAATGTTGTGAGCAAGCGAAAACTGTGGACAACGACGACGCAGACAACAGCAACGGCAACGGCAACGCCAACGTCGATACCGCGGGCAATATGTGTGGGGGCACAGTCGCAGTCGCAGTCGGTAAGTTGTCGCCGCCGTCAGGCAGCAACCACAAAACTGTTACGGGAGACGAGGGCATTGAGAAGTCGACGAGGAAGGCGCCGAAAGTAAATTTTGCATTATACATATGCTCGCTTGAATTTCATTTCTTCTGCTTCAACCTTATTCGCCGGCAATCTGTGCATACCGGTGCCAAAGAGAGAGACAGAGAGAATGAAAGCGAGAGACCGCGCGTTAAAGGTGCGAATATATACAAAGACAAACAGTAAATTTCAATTCGTGCTCGCTCTTTTTACAATCTCTCTTTAGTTATTAAGAGCGGCACCTTTTTAAGAGCGCAAAGCCCACAGGCTGCCAACGCATTCAAACTTGCACTTGTTGCATTAGTAAAGGCCTTCGGAGGTATACCTGTAAAAGGTGTATGCAATTTACAGTTTTATTAATTGATAAGCTTATCAAAACAATAAGCCTAACAAAACAACTGCCGCTATCAATGCAATTGTAAATAATAATAAAGTATTTTCGCACTGATCTTCTGACCTGCCCACTTGCAGACATGTTCGTTCTTGTTTACATCTGAGCTACTCTCCATAACTACCCAAACCCAGCATAAGATAGCAGAAAATATTACAGCTTAGGCTTACACCGTTGTCAAGCAGGTAGCATAAATGTTTGAACTCTTTATGACCCTTTTATCTGTATTTCAAAGGTCCCTTGGCAAACTTTAAGCAGGATAAACTTAGAGCCAAAATGTCCTTTAAATGCCGTTTAAGCTGATCCTTGCGATTATAACGCTATTGAAAATCTGCACAGATATATGTAGCTATATATCTAAAACTGAGAGCATAACTCTGCCAAACGTTTAAGGACTCGACTGGACATAACATATTGGCATACAAGCTAGGATACGCTGATAATAAGGCAAAAATGCTCAAGGAATTAGCGAACTAACTAACCTTAATTTCTGCGCACAAAAGTATGCAACAGAAAGTGATAAAGTGTCCATTTTAGGCGCTAGAGTATGCAATAAAATTTCTGCACTTAATACTTTTTAATCATTATTAAATGAAGTTAGCAAGTTAGCTATTAAATTAAATTCATAATAGCCAACAAAATTAGGATTTAATTTCCCATGTCAAAAGGACATGTTGTTTAAAAATGTTATCAATATAAAGAAAAAAACAACAATAAGTCAGAGATATGTTGCTTGGAGGGTTGGCTCAGGTTGCGTGTAATATCATATAGATACATACACATACATGAACACAAAGTCTGTGTAAGTAGAAGAATTCTTAAGTCGACGAAACGAACAAATCGAAGCTTGAGCTAAAGTTTTTGGTACTCGTAGTTGGTATATGGCAATTCGATAGATAGTCTGTAGATTTTCTAAGCGTACATACTAGAGCTAGGAGCTAGGCTAATAAATAACTAGTCTTAGAACTAGGCGCTATACATCTAATATATAATTTAATTGTGTTTATGGCTATGGTCATGCTGAGGCAGTATCACAGTGCAGGGGCTCGTCCTCCAGCCGATTGTTGATTGTGTTTCGCGGCGATATCACAAAGCGTTTGCGATTCTGTATCGATTGGCTGAGGCGTCGGTTGGCGCGCTTTTTACGCCATCTGTGTATGCAGTAGCAGAACACTGTAAAGGTAAAAAACATGCCACATCATGTTGCACGAAATTGGTTTTTATTTGTTTGACTTACCCAGCAGCACCAAAATAACGCCGCCAAAACAGCCGGCGGCGAAGAGCCAGAGGCTGCGCGTCTCGGCCAGCTCCGCGCTGTCCACACAACTGCGGAATGTCGGCGAGTCCACGGTGCGATTGTAGGGCAGTGGACACGAGTCGCTGTCTAGCGCCTCTGCGGAATGGAAATCGAAATTGGAAACTTGGTCAAATGCCAAAATTAGCAGCAGTCGCAGCTGCTGTAACTGCATCTTCTGCTTACCCATGCAAACGGGTACGAATTTCGGATTGGCGCCCATCGTCATGAGGTGATTGGTCACCTGCTGACAGACGCAGGCGTTGATTTGAGTTCGTGTCAGATCGATGACTTTCAGATGGCACAAATTTGCCAGTTTGTCAATGTTGAAGTCGCTCAACGGATTCGCCGAGGCGTTCAGCTGCCAAAGATCTGCAAAGAAAGATAAATCTCTTGTATATTTCAGCTATATCACAAGATATCTCTATACTATCTCTTCTTGTTCCTGTTAAAACTGACAATCGCCTGGGGTACATTTAATTTTAATCAAATGATTGATGTTTTGGTTATCTGTCAGCCAGTTACGTATTCAAATTCATCATGAAGCTATACGTTAGCGTTGCCACCTGACAAAAGTCTTAACATGTGGCAGCACTTACTACACACAGCTATCTACAAAGATTTAAGATAGCTTACTCATAAATAATATACAGATTGTCTATCAAAATTTATCAGGTAGCTTTGCAACATGTGAATATCTGGCATCCCTGTGCAATTATTCCACACAAAGAAATAATCCCTTCAACTACTCGGCAAAGAGTTGCCAGCTCAACGCAACAGCGCTACCACATCGTCTTAGCTGCTTGTAAACTAACGTGAGCTTTGACACGAACATTGAATGAGAGACTTACTTGGCAACACTCCCAGATCGGGAATATCATGCAGCTCACAATTGGCCACATTCAGGTATTCCAGAGGCGCACGAATGGGCTTCTCCAGCGTTTCGAGCTCTTGATGCAGCTCTCTCAGATCATTGCTGTCTATGTAGAGATTGCGCAGCCTGGGCAGAGAGAACAGCTCCATGGGAATCGTAGTGAGCCCATTATTCGATAGATCGACTTCCTGTGCATCGATCAATGGTTTAGTTAGTCAGTCGCAAATCGTAATTGCCGACATTAATTAGATATTTGTTGCTTACCTGCAGCGCGGTGAGCGGTGCAAATGTGCCCGGCTCCACCGATAAGATCATGTTCTCATAGAGCATTAAAAACTTAATATCGGTATACCTCTGGAACGAGCCACTTCTCAGCTTCCTAATGCGATTGTACGATAAGTCCAGTACCTGTACAAATTATGACTTTAATTCTCGCTTTTTAATTGTCAAAAGAAATTGCCAAGTCATGCAAGATATAGCAATTGCTTACAGCTACAACTAAAGATACATTATATCTGGAGAGTGTAAGCACAGACACGGGGCAAATTTGGTATATATATTAAATTTGCGATTTACCCGAAGATATAAAACCTGCCAGACTCTTCACTAAGTAAATATCTGCATACAAAGCAGAAAACTTTTAATTATAATAAGAAATTTTCTTGAGAAGAATAAACTTGATTATAATAATCAATCAACAAAGAAATTATTGCTCACTTAATTTATTTAAAATTTAGTCAATTATGTTTGCACGGCTTCTAGATACACTAGAATATATGTTTCTTAACTGGGTTTGGGGGTTGCTCTCATGCAAATACATATCTGCATATTCATGTCGCATATATTCCGGCATATTTATGCCATGCTACGAGTGAACTTCTTTATGCTTTAATTAAGCTCAATTGAGGCTGGCTACTGTCTGTGTGTGTGTGTGTGTGTGTGTGTGCGTGTGTGTGTGACTGGGGTCTGTAACTGTGACTGGGGATACACGAGACACGAATTAAGTTTGGGGTCATGCGATTTTTATTGGCTCAAATTGACCTCTTATGACAGGTCGGATGGCTGCTGCCATCGGCCAATTGGTGTCAGCTACTCACCTCGACGGACGTCTTTAGGTTTTGGGGCACCTCCTTGAGGTCCATGTTGTAGCAGCGTATGCGCATGAGCTTCTCGATGCGCCCGTACGAACACCTGCGCTCATCTTGGGGCGCAAAGCCAAAGGCCAGCATCGCATTCACAACGGATATGAAGACAATGTTCAGCAGCAGGCAACGCAGCTCCATGCTGTAAATAGATTGAATATAGATTAGATGGGAAAACAAATATTGACCACCAACATTGAGGCATCAATGGCGCCTATTAAATCTTTGCTGCTCTATGCCCATTGTGCTGTTTATTTCCCTGGCTGTCTATCAAAATAATAAATAAAACGAAATTTAAATGTGCACACTGCCGCACCTGACCCAAAAACAATTATTTTCGAATTAACAAATTACAAGATCAATGCCGCGCCATTGAGGATCAGCCTCCATGCTCGATGCGTTCAATCAAGTGGAACTGCGCCGCCTCGGTGGGCGTTTAGTATGTTCGCTGTGGGCGTGGCAATAAATTGAATTAGTTGTGAACTATGTAAAGCCACAAAACATTGTTTGAGCAGGGCACGCAACGCGGGTCAATGCGGCGTATGAGTGATGTTTGCTTTGTGTTTAGCGCATATTACGTATACGACCTGTTGTTGTTTGGCTTTCACTCAGTGTCAAGGGGTTGGCAGCCCCATTGTGCGCACATCAAACTGTAGTTATATAGAGAAAAGCAAATCGAAAGAGTCAAGCAATTTTGACTGGCTGCAGCCGGTTAAAAGGGGTCTGTTTTTGTTTTTTTTTTTTTTTCAATTCTAACATCTCGAAGAAAACACAAATATCAAAATTATTCAGGGCATAAAAATGCTGATTAACAACTGGGTGGGATGAGTCGTGGCAAGTCGTGCCGGAAATAATTCACAATGTGCAATATTTGTGCTCTTCTTCAAGCTGTACACGTCAATAGAAACCACCTGCTAAATATAACGCGAGAACTGACTCACTCGCTGCCACTCGAACTTAAAATGAGTCTAAGTTAAATAGCTTTAGTCTTTGGGGGCTTCTTTGTCTATTATCTTATCGCTGTGCCTTCCCAAATTTATTATAT